ACCAAGCCGGAAATCAAGGTGTTTGTGCTACTTAAATATTTCTGGCTTTTTGCTGGTTTCCCACACTCTACATCCAGACACTGCCCAGAACCTCAAAATCATCTCTCATTAGTGGCAGCCATGAGCATAAGCTTGGACTCCAGCCCTGTACTTCTTCTGAAGGAACTGTACTTCCCAATTTTGTTCATTTTATTTAAAGGCATAATGGCTGCAACCCTAAACACATTTACTAGGTAGAAAGTCACACTGAACTCTGTGGGATTTACTTCTGAGCAAACATACCAAATTGTGCAGAATGTCACAGCATTCCTCAATCCGTTTGCGAAGGATACACTCTGTATTTTCAGAACTTGTATCCTGCTTTTCTGCCCTTCTGCCCTTACAGCTAACAATTTTAAACATACGTGATAAAAATACATTTTAAAACCATTAAAATCAACCCCCCCTCCCAAACACACAAAATTAAAACAATTAAAAACATAGTTAAAATACATACACAACATTAAAAAAAACCTGGTTAGAAAGGAGGGATCATTGAAGGAACAGCAAACCAAACCAACCAGAGAAGTTTTCACATGCTGGTAGAAGATGGCAATAGGAGGAAAACTCCCTGGGGAGAGAGTTCCAGAGCTTTGTTGCCAAGACCAATGAGGCCCTTTCCTGGGTTGTTACCATCCTAAACTCAGAAGGTGGGGGACCAGAAGCAGGGCCTCCGAAGATGACCATAATAGTCATGCAGGTTCGTAAGGGAGTGGGAGGTCCTTCAAGTAGGCATGGGTGCTCTGTGCATGGACTTACACAGTTTTTGAAAGAGGAGAGGAACTCACAGGATACAAACCCTTGTTTACATAGCCTTGAGACCCTAATCAATCAATAAGATTAACCTACTGTATATGGACATACAGCCTTATAGTATAAAATTGTTATGAATTAAAATTAAAATAACTTGGATTTTTAAAATATCACCTTATCAGGGCTATATTCAGAATGGGGCCGACCTGGAACACTAGGAGATTCTGCACTCATCTTTTCCTTCGCAGTTTTGCCATAGCCACGTCAGAAGGGAAATATCCCTCTGTACTGCATGCCACCCCCACTCTCCTTGTGCATCAGTTTACTTGGGACCTTCTGCATTGTTTTATGGCCATTCAGGGCTCTCCGCAGTCACCATGGCATTGCCCCAGGTTATCTGAATGTGGTTTTGCACTGGACCTTTTGCTCTCTCCACTACCAATTCACATTGAACAATAAGCAGACTACTTGACGTAGCTTCACCCATCTCCGTCTGTTCCCCCACCCCTATTTCCATTCTGTTTTCTTTCCCTGCTTCTCCAAAGACAAAAGGGGATGTGTCCTCCTGTTCAGGTAAACCTTTAAAAAGCCAGAGAGAGCATAAGAATGAATCAGTAACTAAATGACTGGAGGATTCCCTGATCCCAAATGTGTCTGTGTGGGCTTGGATTCTCCCCCCACCTTCCCTTTTTTGTTTTAACTCAGGGATGAGTTTATCATTAAACTTTGATCACTGGTGAAAAGAATTTACTGAACTGCGAGGTGTGTTTGTGTGTGTTCTTAGGGCATCAGAGTGACTTCCTCCTTTCCTTTTCTCTTAAAGGTACAGTGTCTTATTATCTGTGTTCTCATGCCCCGTCAGAGGAAAATGCCAGCAACGTTCAACTAGGATCCTCTTCAGCTCTTCCTTCCCTCATCAATACTTTTATTGATGTGTTTTTTAATGCTCTACATACACGGCTCGGCCAGCTGCCTCCAAGTTGGCTGGCCCTGTACTCGTCGCCATCCCCCTGCTACCTCCCAAAGCCATGGGTGGGGTGGGGGGGATGTCTTGTGGAGATCTCCTGTGCAGCCAGGGGACTGTGTGCTGGTGACACCCGCGTAACCGAAGCATTGGGGGGGGGAGTTTTCTCCTGCTTCTCCTTCCTAGTGGTCTCGGCTTTCTGGCGGCAGCCTCCCCAACTGCTTGTAGATGCAGAATGCATACAGAATACACAAATAAATAAACCGGAGTGGGGGAAAAGTAGTTCAGAGGGAATGCGTGCAACTGTGAAGTCAACCCTTAAGGCTGGACTCCTTGGATTCTCCTGAGCAAGCTATCAGTGCAGAAGGGGGCCACTGATTCATTCCACCTGAGGATTGGCAGGGGGCTGTTTTAGTGCAGTCCTAAGCAGAGTTACAGACAGCATGTTTTGTTGTTGTATTTAGCAATACCAGTGCTAAATAGTGGGCTTTTGTAGATCAAATTTCAAATGTGGTGTGAATGTGGTTGGTATGTTTGGTTGCAATGGCATGACACACACATAAGTTCATACTGAGCACTTGGTGGCTAGCACCTGCTGAAAAGAAATAGAAAACTCTGAAATTAAGCTACAACCACACTCTCTTATATATGCTAAGTTCTCAAGTCTGTGTATATTATAAAGTTTTACCTCAGCATTTCTAAATCTTGATATCATATATACAAACCCTACCTGTTAAATAAAATCTTCTGTTTCGAAAGTTACTTTGCCTCAAATGCCGTTTCAGAAGGGTTTAATAATAAGAGAAGACAGCTCCTCAAGTTCTTGTGCTGGTTCAATAGCCCAAACAATTATCTGTGCCAGGGTGGGACTGTTTAGGTTATTAAGACAAAGAAGACATACACACTACCTAAGGTTGACTCATTCCCTGAGGGTAACTAAAGTTTTGGTGGGAAAATCTGTCTGGGTGTAGGGAAGAGACAGGGGTCTGTCAAACTGATCATAGTTTGATGCCTAAGAGAGCAATTGTAAGCCAGTCTACTCAGAATCCTACTCAGGTCTGTTCAGTAAGACATACTTCTAGGAAAGCGTTCTTAGGATTGCACTCTAACAGTGAAATCCTAAACAGAGTTACACCCTTCTAAAATAACTGAAGTCAATAGGCTTAGAAGAGTGTAACTGTTTAGGATTGTAAGTGACCCAAGTGGCTCTTTGGAGTGCCATAAACTGCTGAGAGATAGCCATGGCTTGCTTCCATTGTCACCTCCCACTGTAATGCTACTAGTGTTGATGGGATTGCTGGAGATGGCTGAATAGGTGTGATGACCATTGATGGTTCTGCCAAGGCAGGTTGAATAGGTTCCCAGGTTTAGACAAAAGGTGGGAAATAGGTCCCTAATAAACATCAGGAAGGATTGTTAGTAATTTGAAAGTTTGATTGGTTATCTCGGTAACTTGAGAGATGGGGCAGGAAGGACAGTTGATCTCGACAATAGAGTTTTCACATAAGTATAGGAGTCACAGAGTTGGAGACAGAAGGCTTATTTGCCAGGCGACCACTGAATAGCTTTAGAAATGCAGATTGTACCTGGTGGTACTTCAGAGGACAGCGGAAGACCGGAAGGCCTGGCGGGAGCTGGTCCATGGGGTCGCGAAGAGTTGGACTCGACTGTGCAACTGAACAACAACCTGGTGGAACTCGGCATTGTTCCATATGCATACTTTGCTGGGTGTGTGTGTGTGTGTGTGGGAGATTGGAGATTGTCTTGGAGGGCTGCCTTGTGCAAAACCTGAAACTGAAACCCTTTTGCAGAGCTGTGGCTAGCTCTGTGTTTTTCGAACCTAGAGTGCCTTTCTTGGCCTGAGTTTGTGGGTCTCTGGTTCAGGTCAGGAGTGGGGTGCCCCTGCTGTTGGGGTTACCCTAGAATAAGGCATAATATCTGGGCTAACATTATAACGTCTGCTCCATCCAAGAGTCAGAACACCAGCTGTGCACTTCCCCCTAGATTCTCAAAGATGACTGGATGTTGCTTCAAATAAACACAGACATTTACATGGGATTGGTTATTTGACAGTTAGGGGCCAGACAACCACCTGTCCATCAAACCACCAATAAGTATTTATTATTTATTACCATAAAATTATGTGCCTCTGTAGTCCGAGCAGCTTCCATGGCTCTGCATAGCTGCTTGACACAGTACTTGAAATGAAATCCAACACAAAAACAACCACCACCAAATACTGTGGTAGACTGATCAAGAGCTTGCATCATATGTAAGTGAGGGAATTTGACCAAAGTAAATTTTCTGGCAATTGTGTTCAAGACAAAGTTCTCAGTGTTCCTAATCTGATCTGGCATTGTGATGAATTTTCTGAGGACAAACAAACCAATTCAGGGGATGCTTCCTGAATCACATTATCCTCACTCTGAATAGGTGAGTGCTTTCACTCCCTTGTAACTTCAAGGAACAATTGCCAAACGGAGATATTTTCCACCACCAGCATTTCTTAAGAAGAGCATCCAGTTTTTCAGTTTAACTCTAGTTTCATAATCAGATCCTCAGCTTCCTGGCCTTATTCAGGGCTGCCAAGAACCACCATGGCCCTTGCATCTGACCCTGATCCAAATTAAGTATTATGAGAAAACAATTCACTTGGCTGCAGGGTGGATTTGATTTAAATCAAATATATTTAAATTATGATTTAAATCATTAGTCAGTAAGACTAGATTTAAATCATAGTTTTCTACATAAAGGCTGCGGTCACACGCGCCAGTTGAAGTGGAGGGGAAGCGAGGCAATTCCCTCCGGAGCAATTCGACCTGCAGTTGCAAGATCACATCTCCCTTCGTAGCTGCAGGCCCAGCCTGTCACTGTGTGATCAGATGCAACTGCGGGTGAGTCAGGGTTTTTTGCCATTTGTTTCCCATGTGCATAAACAAGGAATCACACCTCTGCATCAAGGGCCCCCTATGGGTATGCGCTGATGCACATACTGCGCAGGGGGGGGGACGGCACCGGGCCATGATGGCCTGATCAGACCATCCTGATGGCAAGCATGAGTACTTGCACAATCAGACAGGGGAAAATCCATCTGTGGGCTGTCGCAACCTGTTAACTACCAGATTTTCTCCGGTGTCTTTTTACTCCGCTTCTGTGGTGGAGCAGCACAGGTTGCAGACAACTGCGGTACACTTCCCAGATGTTGTCTGAGCGTGCCCTTTAGATCTAACAGGCGTTCGCGTCTATGTCGGATCTACTGGCGTTTGTGATCACAGCCAAAGACATTCTTGGTGGTATAATCTTAATATTTACAACCAGATGAAGGTTTCATTTTTAGAATAACAACCTTTCAGATTCGTTTTACAGTTATATAAAAAATACTAATTTGGTTATACTATTAGAAACACATCATAGATAATTATGAAATTATTGTGAGGCTAATCATTCATATTTGGACAACTTTTTGCTGTGGTTTATTGGAAGGAGAAAAATAATCATTACCTTAATAATAACAATTTAAATAGTTTTATTTAACTAAAACAATAACATTATATCATATGTATTCTTGTATTTGCTTAAACATCCATGTTTGTTAACTGATGTGGTTAAACAAACTATACTTTAAAAAAAAAAAACACAGACTATCAGCCCGGTCCACACATGAAAAACTTAAAATACTGTGCTCCGTAGCTCACTCATCTTCATCTTCTTGTTTGTTCATAATCTGGAAAAGAAAAACAAGCTTTCCTGCTTTATTGGGTCCCAAATGATTTCTCAATCTAGAATGAATGAGTCCAAAGAAAGAAAATATTCTTTCTACGACAGCAGAAGTTAAAAGTGAAATCATTACTTCAACAGTCTCTAAATCCAAGTGCTTAAGTGACTCCCACCACTTCACTGGTGTAACTTTCTTTAAAACATCATCAGCAAACATATATTTCTTGAATGGTTCCTCCTTAGCTCTGAAGTTTATTATAGTTGGTGTTACAGATGGATGATTGCTGGATACCCATTTCATAGCTAACTTCTCTTCCTCAGTGCTTAAGGTTTGACCCTGGTATTGGATACTGACAATATTTGTGAGAAAATGAGCTGGAGATAGTGCTTGTCCCATTCGGGTTTTTAATACTTGTAATTTAATTATGTCAGTGTGTAGTTCTGTTTTTAAGTGCTCACTCAGTTCCTTGCAAAGTTCAACAACATCAGCAATAAAACAGATTTTTTTCTGTATGTTGTTTAAAGCTTCAAAAATGGTTTTTAGGATGCTCACCATATATTCAATGTTTTTATTAAGCCCAATGTTGAGGATTTTGGTCGTGACAGTGCCATCTATTTTCTCTCGATGTTGCTCGTAAACTGTCATCAGAATAGGCCAGTTCTTGATATACTGCTCAAAGCAGTCTACTACAGAGTACCATCTAACATCTTGTGGGAGGGTTAGCTTGGTTCCACCCATTACTTTCAGAGCTGCTGCTGCAAAATTATTGTTATGGAAGTATTTAGTCATTTCAATGACATTAGTCTTAATTTCTGGAACACTGAAGTCTTTGGCTAGGAGGTGCAGCAAGTGAGCACTGCAACCATATGTTATTAGCTTTGTATTCACTTCCTGCTCTTCTAAATGTCTTCTCCTCTTGGATCCATTTGCAGCATTGTCTGTGACCAAACTGCGTACTAGACATTTGAATTATTGTTCACATGTTATGATAGCTTTTGCTGCCACTTCTTGTAAGTATTCTGCTGTGTATGCATTTCCTGATGTATCAATTGTTTCTGCAAGGAAGACATTCCCTTCTTCTGTTATTATACAAGCACATACAACAGGATCATTGTGGACATCGCACCCATAAAGGCTTAGGTTAACAATTTTACTCTCCAGAACAGTTGCACATTGCTCCATTTCTATGTCATGCCCTTTATCCAGCAGTTTCCCTGAAACATCTGCTCTGCTGGGTGGACTGTATCCTGTTCTCAGTGACTGAACCATATTAATGAAGTGTGGGTTTTCAATCAGATGGAAAGAAGAGTTTGTCATGTAAACAAACTGGGCATTTTTTTAATCCATTAACTTTTTCTAATCTGCTGGTTTTTATCACAAACTTCTCTATGGTGGTTCCTGGATGGTCAGTGGAATCACAAACAAATCTGTAATCAAAACATGCTAAGTGCATGCAACAATATAGAAACCAAAGGCAACAATAATACCAAATTCATATATAATATAATGAAGTTATCAATGTTATAAAGAGCAATTATCAAAAAGTGGGTGGTCACAAACTCAAACCCACAATAAGTCACAGCACATCTCCAAAGCAGCAGACTTCCTTCATTAAGAGAACAAGCACACAAAAGGAAAGAATTATCTATATAAATTTCACATGTCCTTGGACTGAAGTCCAAACATCTATATATTGTGGCTTGTAGAAAATAAGATCCATCCCAAATGAAAACTACGCAGTTCCGTATAGTCAGTGTTTCGTACCTGTTCCTTCATCAGGTAAATCAGGTAAGTCTTCACTGACATACAGTAAATACACATGTACAAACGAGGTCCCGATCAAAATACTTCAGTTCGGCTCAGCTCTATTTTTTTTGCAAGTCAGCTGAGCCCAACTGAAATATTTTGATTGGGACCTCATTTGTACATGTGTATTTACTGCATGTCAATGAAGACTCACCTGATTTACTAGACCTCAAATTTATGGTAAGAATGAGGGTAAACCTAAATTTAATTAGGAAACTCTGGCGAGAGCTGTTTACATGAATCTGTCCAAACACTGCTGTCATGTTTTCTCAGTGGCAGCTGACACCCATTTCTCATTTTGTTCAACAGTTAAAACAACAAACAAACCTGGTAGAGTACCAGATATTGTGAGCCCACTGCGATACACAACAGTGAAGTAGTGCATTCACAACTACAGCTTCGGCAGTATCATATCTTTTGCAAAGGATGCCCCTTGTTCCAAAATACTCTGGTCAGGCTTGATTTAGATATAGGTGCACACTTAAGAGGCCTCAGGCATCTAGTTAGCTTTCCAATATCAGATAATCTCCTGGCAAGAGGTACACCCATTTTTGGTTCATTTTGGGTATAGTACATGAGAAGCTTCCTCTGTGGTCTTTTTAATCAAGACTAGATTTTTGCTATATCCCTGACACCGTTTAGATCAAATAGAGGGCATGGAATGATGACCCACAGCAGCCAGGCATCTGTGTCCACAGAACCACAGCACTAGGCTGACAGAAATTGCTGCTCCATCAGTAATGGCTAGACCAATCACTGAATCTGGTCCAAGTTCACTACATGTGTGGTTACACTTCATTCTAAACTTTGACATAGGTCCTGTTCAGACAGGCAGCAAATCCCGCCATTGGCCCGGCTCTAATTTGATCCAGAACTTTTCTATCCAGCGTTGCATGACCAGATAGCTCCCCTTACCATGCGTGTACTCCGTGGTGGATTTGTCTAGACAGCATCCACCTGAAGGAGCCGCATGGTCGGAGATTTTTTTTCAAAAATTCTGTTTGTGCATGCGCATCTGTGCCTCAACATGTACTTGTTTTTCTGCACATGCGTAGAATTCAATGATTAAAGCACCACCAGCAGTACCTCCCTCTAGGTACCGTTTCAATTAACACAGTTCATACATTTCATGGGCCCTTCAGAAACATGAAATTGTCCAGAACGTTTGAGCAGAGCTCTGCGGCTGTTGCACGTTTACACATTTATGGGCATATCACTAAGAGTTTTTTGAAAATGGCAGCCATTCGGGATGGTCTGGAGTCAGACGATCCCAACGGGAGGATTGCATGCTGGAACGGTCAGAGAGAGGAAAGTCTACCATTGGCCTGTTGGCAAGCATTTGCTCTGGACTGAAACTGGTATCTATTAAGTACAGCTCCCTGATGGGGCTGAATGGGCTGATCATTCCCTGTCTGATCAGGACCCTAGTAACACAAAGGCTGCCAATGCCCTCAATGCAACAGCAGTTAAACACTAGGGTTCCAACTATGACCCATTGTTACTATAGTCAGTGCTATCTGTGCTATTTTCTTAGTAATCTTTGGCCCAGTCTGCATCTAGCATTTGCTCTGCTGTTATACCAAACCCACACTGGAACAGAAATTCCCACCTACACTGTATGCCACTTTCACTTTGATTGAGTGTTGCATTTTATGGCAGTGTCCAGACTGCATGCTGTTTTCACTTTGTTTGATCTCTGGTTTTAGAGATCAACTAGAGGAGTTAGAAAATTTGAATTGAGGTCCTCAGAAACTTTAAATATCTTTAAACTGGAAGCAGTTTTTTCTCTAATGTTGTTCTATTTTTTGAGAGTCAAGCAATATTTAAACAAAGCAAAGTTAATTATTAAAGAATTTTTAAAAATCAATGAGAGAATAAGGAAATATTTCTTTATGACATCATAACTGCCAAACTAAATAGGCCTGAATTGATTCTAGCTAGTTCATATCTTAGTAATGTTAGATGAAATGTATTTCCGTCTTTTTATTGATCCTGGCCTGTCATAATACGTGATGTGCTCTTTGCTTAGTTTAATATATGATGTGCTTTAAAAAGCACAGCTGTAAATAATAATTTCCATTAAAACAACAGTATGCTTTAGATGAATGGATAAAGCTATTCCAGATGCTTTATGAGCATGGCTAATTTCTTACCTGTAAGTATGTTCATTGCACTCAGATTTTGACAAGAACATTAATTCATTCTTATTTTAGTTGCTGATAGTCTTACTAAATCCCTGTAGTTATATTAGCTCTGTGCATCTTTTATTGAGACACAGTTACGCAAGCAAGTAAAACCAATGAATGCCTTGTCTAAGGTGTGGTTTGTCTTTCTTTTGCAGAGCTGCAGGCGACCAAGACCTCTCAGTTCTATGCTCTCTCCCACCACCCCTTAGACTACAGGATATTAATGATGGATGAAGATCAGGACCGAATCTACGTGGGCAGCAAAGATCACATTCTCTCTTTGAATATTAATAATATAAGCCAGGAACCTCTCAGCGTAAGTTCATAAAGTGCTTTAGGAATCCAGTATCATTTAACTGCATCATTTTAGTTTCCGAAATGGTGGGGGAAACAGTGTGGCTGCTTCCACATGGACTTTTTCTCTGTATTGCCTTCCATACTGGAACCCTTCCCCCCCCCCCCCCCCCGGAGCACCGATGTGAGATTGTCACATACCCATTCACTTTCTGGGTTTTCCTCGGCTTTGCTGCAATCTTTGCAAACCTCCTTTGCTATGATCTTTCTGGAAAGGTTGCTGTGGGCAGGAAAGTGCAGTTTATTTAACCTTTCTACCCACACTGACATCATTTTCCTTTGGTATCCTCTTGTGCCCATCATACCTCCCTGTTCCCTGTATCACTGGCAGGTTTTTCCCTCCCGGGTCTTTTTTTTTTTTGCATTCCCAATTGCTCTCTCCCAATTGCTATATATCAATATAGCGATATAACTACTGCTGATATTTTTTAATTTGCAAAATGCTCTCTGGCAGTGGTGGGTTGGGAGGGGAAACAGAAGATTTGTCTTCACTTACCGTGAAGCTTCCTTCTCGGTGGTCCTGGAGTGGGGGGCGGTCCTCACAAGTGGGTAGCTCCTCCCTCCTCCGGAAGCAGGGTTGATTGGCAGAATTCGATCCCGGAGGGGAGGGGCTTGCCCACAGATCGTCAGTCCATATCCAAGTCATGCCTCCCACTGAACTCTCTCATACATGAGGAAAAAAGAGAAGGAAAAACACCCCTTCCCCAACTAACCAAACTCACTTGAAGGGTTAACCAGTAAGAACATAGAACAACTGTTCATAACTGCGCAGCAAAAAACGTTCTACTCCCTTCTGTTCATGTTGCATTTTAGCAAGAACCATGTATATCTCAGAGAGTATCTCTAGCCCCCTCAGGACTAACACTGGGCTACACAGAAAGACTCTCAGCACCCCCTCCAGTCCCAGAAGCTGTTCCAAGAGTAAGCTCTTGGGTGCGTAAGACCGCCCCACTCCAGGACCACCGAGAAGGAAGCTTCACGGTAAGTGAAGACAAATCTTCCATTCTTCGGTGGTCCTGTGAGTGGGGCGGTCCTCACAAGTGGGACGTAACAAAGCAGTGTGCCCTTAGGGTGGGTGCCAATGTTCCCTTTAAGCTGTGAAGTCCTGTGAGCAAAAATTCTACTTTGTGAGCTACTGGCAATAAAGTTGTGAGCAAGTAATTTGGCTGCTGCATAAATTAGTTTGCTCTGGAGACGTCCCTTCTGAGCTAAGATAAAAATGTGTGAGCTGGAGGCTAAAAAGCAGTGAGCTAGCTCACACTAACTCAGCTTAGAGGGAACAGTGGTGGGTGCCCGGCTTCAGGGCCTAGAGGGTATGCTGCAGAACCCTCCTGCCAAAGGCTGCATCTGCAGAAGCTATTTTGTCAATTCTATAGTGCTTTATGAATGAATGAACAGACTTCCAAGTAGCCGCCTTGCAAATCGTCTCCAATGACGGGAAACACCTATAGGCTACTGATGTAGCTGCTCCTCTCAAGAAGTGAGCAGTAACGCCCTGTGGGGGTTCCTCACCCTTGGCTTTATATGCCAGTATGATGCACCCCCAAATCCATCTACTAACTGTGGAGGTCGAGATCCTCTGGCCCAAATCAGATTTCCTAAAGGACACAAAGAGAGAATCTGATTTACGGAAGTGTTTGGTCCTATCCAGGTAGAAGCTTAAGGCTCTACAGACATCTAGACAATGCCACTCTTTTTTTTAAATCATGTTTTGGATTTGGGCAGAAAGAGGGCAGCACTACATCTTCAGATCTATGTAAGGTCGAATTCACCTTTGGTACAAAGGCCGGGCCAGGATGAAGTACCTCTCTGTCAGCATGGAAAACACAGAGTTCTTTATCTATGGAGAGCACCCTCAATTCTGATACCCTCTTAGCAGAAGTGATACCTATGAGAAAAAACGTTTTAAAGGTTAGCTCCTTAAGTGGGTATGTTGCCGTTGGCTTGAAAGGTCCCCGGGACAGAGCCCTCAGGACCAGATTAAGGTTCCCGGTGGGGAAATGATGAACCTGTGGTGGATTAATGAGGGCCACTCCTTTTAGGAATCCCTTAACATGATGATGCCGACTCAGTGGTTTACCCTTCCTAGCTCCCCTAATAGCCGAGATGGCTGCCACCTGGCATCTAAGAGTGCTGGTACTAAGACCCTTTGACAACCCCTCCTGTAGAAAGGACAGGATTCCACGAATGGGTACTGACAGGGGCTCCCAACCTTTCTGACTACACCAGGAATGGAAGACCTGCCAGGTAGTAGTATACACCCTAGCAGTAGAATTTTTCCTGGAGGCCAACATGGTTTCAATGACCTCCTTAGAATAACCTATTCCTGAAAGTTGATTGTGCTCAACTTCCAGGCTGTGAGTGCCAAGGATTCTGGTTGTGGATGTACTAGTGCCTCCTGAGTGAAAAGGTCTGCTCTCAATGGAAGTCGCCATGGCTCTACTACTGACAGTCTCCTGAGCTCTTGGCACCATGGTCTCCTCAGCCAGAATGGTGCTACCAGGATCACCTCTGCCTATTGCTGTATGACCTTCTGAATCACCCTGGATAGCAGTTGGATCAGAGGGAAGGCATATATCAGTTGATGAGGCCAGTCGCAACTTAGAGCGTCCACTCCTATGGCCTGTTGAACTCTTGTTCTTGCCATGAAATTGGGCACTTGACAATTTTGGGCTGTTGCGAAGAGGTCGACGGTCACTTCGCCAGATCTCTGGCATAGCTGTTGGAACACCTCCTTATTTAACATCCATGTCTGAGCCAGTCCGCCAAGACATTGTCCTGACCCGGAACGTGAATCGTCTTGACAGACAGTAGTTGTTCTTCCGACCACTGTATCAGACGGCAGGCTTCCTCGTGGAGGGATTTGAATCTGGTCCCCCCCCCCTGACGATTCACATATGCCTTTGCCGTCATATTGTCCGTCTGTACCAAGACATGACAGCCTGCTAATAGACTCTGAAAGTCTCGCAGACCCAGCCTGATAGCACATAACTTCAGAAAGTTTATGCTGTGTGTTGTGTCCCTGTGTGACCAGTTTCCCTGAGTAATTCTGCCTTGAACATGAGCTCCCCAGCCCACAAGGTTGGTATCAGTGGTCATCACCACCCTCTTTGGTTCCCTTAGCGGAACACCCAGCTGAAATCGCATGGGTTCCTGCCACCAGGTCAGATCTGTTTTGAGGCTCTCTGGAATAGAGACTAGTCTTGTCTTTTTGTTTGCAATGACCTCCTGAAAGGGCAGAAGAAACCTCTGTAGAGGACAGATGTGAAACCTTGCCCATTGGAATAACTCCTGATCTGACACCGTAAGGCCCTGCAGTTGGACCAATGTTATTACCTCCATCTTTTGACTCTCCAATACCTTTTCTGTCATAGACTGGATCTTTTGTTGTCTTTCCTGAGTCAGGAAAGCTCTGTCTCGAACTGTATCGATCTGTACCCCTAGGTGTACAATCGTTTGTGTCAGGTGAAGAATGCTCTTTCTTTCGTTGATCACAAAGCCGTGATTCTGCAGGCATTCTACTGTGTACCTCACAGCTTCCATACAACTGTCGAGAGAAGGTGCTTTGAGAAGAATATCATCCAAGTATGGGGCCAGGGAAACTCCCTCCAATCTCAGGTGTGCCACTAGTGTCACCAAGATTTTCGTGAACACCCTGGGAGACGATTTCAGGCCGAATGGAAGTGCCTTGTATTGGAAATGTCTCCGGTTGTAGGCACAGTGGAGAAACTGCCGATGGGACTCCCTTATTGGGACATGTAGGTAGGCCTCGGCTAGGTCTATGGAGGCCATAAAGTCCCCCTTCTGGATGGCTGACAGTGTTAACTTGAGTGTTTCCATCTTGAATGGTTGAGTTTTGATCCATCTGTTCAACCACTTTAGATCTAGGATTGCCCTGAAGTCTCCATTCTTTTTTGGGACAATAAAGAAAACTGAGTAAACTCCATGCAATCATTGATTCTTCGGTACAAGCTCTATAGCTCCAATGTCTCTCAGATGCTGGATGACCTTTTTCAAAAGGTTGTGTCTTTGGCTGGACCTGTTTTTCGGGACCTGCTGGAATCATTTGGGAGGGAGACTTTCGAACTCCAAGGAGTATCCGTCCGTCACTGTTTCTAATACCCACCTGTCCTGGACAGTGAGCTGCCAATGGTTTGCAAATCTTTGTAGATGTCCCCCATTCCTGCAGTGTCCTGTATTTCTTGTTAGTCATGCTAACAACCCCTTCTTGTTTCCTTTTGGTGGTTGATTAGTCTCGTGGACCAAAGAGGGCTTACTGTCATCTCGTGTCCTGGGCTGCCATTTTCTTCTGAAAGATTTGGAAAAGCCTGAGCTTGATTGTCGCTTGCTCTCCCAAAAGGACTGAAAGCGTTGTCTCTGTTTTCCCTCCCTTCTTTTGGATGGGAGTGCCTTTTTCTTGTCCTTGTCCTCCACTAGGTACTTGTCCATCCCTTCACCAAAGAGATTGATGCCTTTAAAAGGCACTGCAGCCACCTTGACCTGGGTAGCTGGGTCCACACCCCAGCTTTGAAGCCACGTGTTCCATCTAGCCGCCACGCTAAATGACATCGCACTTGCTGACATCTGTAAGGCATCTAGGGAAGCATCAGATGCAAACGTCGCCACCGGGGCAATCTTTTTAATTTCATTTTTGAGATCCTTGGGTAGCTTGCTCTCTGCTGCTGCCAAGTCTGAAGCCCAGGAGCAGGCTGCTCTTGCAAATAGAGATCCTGTCGTCGAGGCTTTTAGTGCATTTGCTGAAGCTTCAAAGTCCCGGCGTAGAGCCTGTTCTATTCTCTTGTCACATGGATCTTTGGGTAAGCCATCTGCTTCCATTAGTAGCACAGAAGTACATGTCAGATTGGTCACATGGTCATCCACCAGTTGTAGCTCAACCCTCTTAGCAGCCTCTGGAACTAAGCTATAAAATTTTGCTCTCTCTGAATACTGATATTTTGCTCT